AAAAAAAAAAAAAACCCACTCAATGTAATGGAATATAATATAATCTTTTAAGTTAGTAGCATAAAGAATTCTCTAGACTCTAGAGTGCAGGTGATGGGAAATGAGAGTGTTGAATTGAAAGGAAAGGAAGTTGGGGGCCCGGAGCCTCACAAGAGGATTTGTCAATTTGGGGTGTCTTTGTTCTTTACTAGTTAGGGCCATACAATTAGAAATGAAGACTTTCACGTCTTTACCTTATGAGTTAAAAGAGGATCCATACCACTAACACGCATTTTCTCAATTCACACAAATGACATCCACCATCAGACGAATAAAATGCTTTGATTGAAACTGAGAGAAAGCAGGTTATGAAAACAGAGCACCAAATATAGATAAAATGGACCACCGTTTTGTCAAATAGATAGCCTAACCATACACGGAATTGAGTCCGACGAGCAAAGCCTTAACCTAACTTGTCAACTTGGAATCTTGGATTTTTGTGGTCTTAATAATGGATGACCCTTTTGCAATGATTTAATTAATACTATATTGTTTGGCAATTTTCCCATGATGAAGTAAGAGTCGGTATATATAAAAGAGTTTGTTTAATTTATATTTTTAGAATATAAGATGAGATATAAGAAATATATTTTTTATAATTAATTTTTATAAAAAAAATAATAATTAATTTTTATTTTAATTTATTATTATGTACATAATTTTAATTAATTAATTAATTAAATTTAAATAAATTTTTATCAATTTATATATATTAATTATAAAATAATACATTTATTACATCTTATCTTGTGTCATTAAAAAATCTCTATATATAAAATCCCCCTTCCATCTTTGATAAAGTAATGCACAATGGAATTAAGTGTCAAAAATCAAATCATAACCACTGTTTTAAAATATGGACCGAGTTGATTGATCCAATTTGTTGAACTAAAACCAACTATAAAATCGCTTCAAATCATGACATAAACCTACTATAGTAAACCTTGATCAAAACTCAGAAGAACTAGTTTAATTTGTCGGTTTTTTTTTTAATAATTTATAATTATTTACAAAATTATTTAGGAGAGGGAGGAAAGAGATTTCGTAAGGTTCAAATGTACAATTCACTAAAAATAAACAGTTCTAACTCAGGATTCAATACCATTGAATCGGATCAAACCGTTCAACCTGTTAGATTTTGAAAAGAAAAGAAAAGAAAAGCTAAGTAAAGAAAAGTAAAGTAAAAGCAAAGTAAAGTAAAGAAAAGTAAAGTAAAAGTAAAGAAAAGTAAAGTAAAAGTAAAGTGTCAAAACTCGGAACAATCGGTTAAACCTATTGGCTTTTAAAAGTAAAGTAAAGTAAAGTAAGTTAAGTTAACTTAAGTTAAGAGTGTATTTATATAATTTTTAATAATTAATTATTTTTAAGTTAATATCATATTAATAATTTT